TCTGAACTGATAAATAATGACAACGGCTTAAACGGATCACAATTTGCAATGAATTTCGAAATTAACGAAGAAGGCAAATTTCCACCTATAACCCAACCTAGGTGTGTGTTTTGGAGGACTGGAAGTTCATTACCAAGGTTAATTAAACCAGGAATCAACAATGAAAAATACACCTCTGCTCCAAGAAGTAAATCAATATGTTGTGGATTGTAATATTTTGAATCTGCAAGGACAATATTGTTAGGAATTTCTAACTTGCCGGCTTCAATTGGAAATTGCGGCAACCTGCAACTACTGAAATCTGTAATTGAGCATGTAGCTTTAAACCTTTTATTTTTGTCAATAGTTGACTTAAATTCAATATCAATTGCTTCAGTGCATTGTACTGCGCCAGAAACACCATTAATTTCAACATTTTTTCTATACGTTGGATACCTTAGTTGTTTTGCCAATTTCCGTGTCATAATAGATACTTGAGATCCATTGTCTAGGACTGCTCTAGCTGACAAAAAAGTTCCATCATTATTAATTACCTGTACGAAGGCAGTGGCTAATAAAACATGACAATTTTCACTACCGAAAAAACTAGATTTCGACTGCAATACAATGTTGTTTTCAGGACATACTGAACGTGAACTATGGGGACGCACTGTATGTGAGTTTTCTGAATTTTGATTTTGGCCACTTTGACCACTCACATTAGCTAAACCCGACGCGGACCCTGAACCAGAATTGTCAACATGACCCAACCTGTTCTCTTGAACATTTTGTCTAATATTTGCCGTTTGAAAGTTGTTTGAATTATTTTGATGTCTATTGTTTGTATGATTGTTATTGTACTTAGATGTACTATTATCTACATGTAACAGTGCATTATGAGCTTCTCCACACACGGGACAATTGTTAAAAGTACAATCTTTAACATGATGTGAATCAAAACATTTGAAGCACAAGTGGTTTGAAAAAATAAAGGACTTCCTTTGGTTAACTTTTAAATCTTTAAATTTTTTACATTTATAAATCATATGATTATTTAATTTGCAATATAGACAAAATAACTTTTTCTCTACAAAATTAGAATGTTTTTTGATAGGCTCTGGAGAAGACAAATTCTCGGCAGCCTGACAGCGTTTCTCCACAAAATTTAGGAAATCAACCAGCGTTGGCATTTGAGTAGGACCCCTCTCTAATTCATAAACTCTTCTAGTATTAATATCTAGCTTTTGTAACAAAATAAAAACCAGAATTAAATCCCATTCCGCCACCGGAACTCTGAGATTTTTTAGACACTCCGTATGTTGCTTTATAGAAACAACAAAATCACGTGAGCTAGCAGAACTGCTTCTATTTATGGATGGAAGTTCCAATAGGCCTTTAATATGAGAGTAAATACTAGCTAGTTTGTTCTCATATCTGTCTTTCAAAATATCTATTGATACCTGCAAATTGCTACTTACTAATGGCAAATTCTCAATAAGCTTTAAAGGTTCACCCTGTAAATTGGATTTTAGATAGATTAATTTTTGTATATCTGCCAAATTGGGATTGTTTACAACCAACGCTTTGAAAATGTCAAAGAAGCTTGACCAATTTTGATGAGCTCCTTTAAATTTATCGATAGTTATCTCAGGCATCTTAGAACCTATTGTACAATTATTCGAGTTATTTTGAGAAACATTACTATTTACACTTGTATTTACATTATTTAAGACAGGAGAACATTTGTCAATCAAAATTTTTAGTATTGTTTTTAAATTGAAAAATTTATCTTCAGTTTCTGACCTATCGCCTATTTTTTCTGCACTTGCTCCTATATTTTCTATTGAATCTTGTGAAATGGAGAATTTTTCGAAAGCTTTTTCCAACATTTCAAGCCTATTTTCATACTCATATTTATGCATTAAATCATTTTGATTTCTTGTTAAAAAAGTTTCAATCCTAGTAATACTAGCTCTAGCATTTTTTCTATCAGCATTAAATGTTTTTAGTTCTTCCTCCATTTTTATGAACTTGAATAATTAAACAAAATTTAAGTTTAACAATCTTTTTTGACTTCAATTCAATGAAATGAGTTTAGTTTTTTATTTAAATAAAAAGTGTCTTTTTGTTCTATCAAAAATTGTCTTTTTATTCTATTGTGTCTGCTAAAGGACAAAACTTGTCGTGAAGCATTGACACATAGAAAAAACTCGACGTTATCAATCTCAACTCAACATAGATTAATAAAAACAAATGGAAAGCTCTGACCTTAGTCCTCGTAGAGATTCACAACTCCAACTAGGTAGGTATTTCAGCTCCAACACTCCGAACAAGAAATAGGTAGGTACACACGTACCGTACAACCAATCCAAAGTTCGCTTACACAAGTATACTCTTACACAAGAGTATGTACAAAACCGACGATTACACACGAATCGAATCCGGCACTCGAAAGGATCAAATTTTATGTTAACACATAAAAGCTTCAATAGCTCATTTTTACCCGAGAGGTTATGTAATAGAAAATAATTACGAAACACCGGGTTGTTCTTAATAAAAGTGGACTGTATTAACTTTTCAAAAGATTACGATGACAATCGGCAATAAACAAAGTTACATTTTTTATTTATTGTCTGTATTTTGTGCAATAGCAATTTCTTGCTAATTAATTAAAATTTGGACGCGACTTCGCGACGCCGCTTCTTAAATACGGCGGGTAGCACAGTACCTATTTATGCGATAGCCAACTCACGACTACCCTAGGAATTTATACAGAAATGGCGCTTCCCTTAAAATATCTAGGTGTGGACGAGTCCATTATTGGAATTTGGGGGGAAGAAGCTTATTAAAAACTTGTTCCTTCTTGTGGGTTTTTTTTATGTTTTGGGAGAATTGGTATTGCACCAATACTTGTAACCAATACAATAAGGATAGATTGCACCATAATATAAATAATAATATCAAAATCAGGAATAATTATTAGAAAATCCAACACAACCCAAAATGGACAAATTTTCTAAACAAGCAAACTTGATTTGCAAACCTCACAACAAGTGTTCTACACTTCAAACGTGAGCCTGTTTATTGTCATGTATTTTTATAATTGTTTTGTATACTTATTGTATTTTTCTGAACGATAATAAACATTATTTATTATTATTATTATTATAATATTTGGCAATTCCCATAATTTTTGTAATTCCTGCAATTTTTTGTTATTCCGTGATTTTCGTCATGTTCCGTAATTCTCGTAAATGTTTGCAATTCTCATAATTTTTTCAAAAATTACCTATCGTTATTCTCGTAATTTTGAAATGAGGAAAAATGAGGATAAAATCGCGGAAAGTGATGATAAAATCGCAAAAAAAGAGTCAAGAATCGCAAAAAAAATATGAGTCAAAAATTTCAAAAAAAGTGGGTTTAAACTCGCAGCAAAGTAAGATGCACGGAAAAATGAGGATAAAGTCATGAAAAGTGAGGATAAAATCGCGGAGAATGAAATAGGAATCGCGGAAAAGTGAGTATAACATCGTAAAAAAAAAGTGAGACAAGAATCGCGGAAAAATGAGATAATATTTACAGAAAAGTGGGTTTACAATCGCGAAAAAGTGGTTTTAGAATCGCGATAAGTGATGGTGAAATCGCAAAAAAATGAGTCAAAAATTGCAAAAAAAATTATTCAAAAATTACAAAAAAAGTGAGGTCAAATTCGCGGAAAAGTGAAGATAAAATCGCGGAAAGTAGGGAAACAATCGCGGGAAAATGAGGATGAAATAGCGGAAAAATAAGTTTGTAATCGCCGAGGAGTGAGGGTAAAATCGCAAAAAAGTGAGGGTGAATTTGCAAAAAAGTGAGGCTAAAATCGCAAAAAAAGTAAGGACAAATTCTCAAAAAAGTGAGTCACAAGTCGTAAAAAAAGCCTAGCACCCCCAAGCACCCCCCTAGTTGCGCCTATGAAGAAGGTAGCCTTATGATTTAAATTTTCGAAAACTTTGAAAGGTCATAACTTTTTTTCTATTATAGATAGAAAGCTGAAACTTCCACTGAATTTTATCCCTTTCGAAGGACTACAGTCCCTGGAAATTTCAGCTCATTTGCCCTTATAGTTCCTGAGATAAAATCGTGTTAAGCAATTTGGGGTGATTTATCAATTTTTCAAATTTTCTGAGTGCCTTTTTTCATAGATTTGGGCTTCAAATCTGAGAATAATTTAGTGTATGGAGTTTGGTAGATGTTATTTGACCATTAGGATACAAAATATCAACAAAAAAAAATGAAATTTCATCGTTTTAGTAAGAAGGTAGCTAGTTTGATTTTTTCCAAAATGACATTGAACCACATTTTACCTCACATCTTTGTTAATTTCAATCCGATCGTAACGTAATTAGGCTTGAAATGAAGCTGATTAAATCCTTTACAAATCTCGATTTAGTATTTTCAAATCAACTTAATCAATTTCCAAATTTCCCACAGTTTTGGCAAAGAATTCCAAGGTGGTTTGCCCCTTGTATTTTTCCCTTTGGAATGTTTCATTATTTATTTTTTTCAAGGAAATAAAAGCACGAAATGAAAACTACAAAAATATAATTAACAAAATCAAACATTCTTCCTTCATGTTTCGTATTATTAAATTCTCAATGAAATTAATTTCCCACTGACGATTCTTAGAGTTTTGCTCGTAAAAACCCAATTTAATTAACTGGAGAAAAGATAAGATTTAGGGATCGTCTCTTTTGCAAAATATCCAGTGCCTTATCTAATTTCCTTCGTCCTTTTTTACTTTCAAAGTGATAAATGAGGGTGGCCCGAAAACATGGGGATGGTATCGATTCAAGTCAAAAAAAAGAATACAAAATTTTCAGGAATCAATGTTCCAGAAATAAATAATTCCTCTTTAAAATTCATTAATTAATATCTGGAATTGACGTTTCCCTAATTAACAAAGTATTCATATTTTCTTGTCGCCTCGACGTAGGTAATCAAGCTTGAAAATCCAATTAAACGATTCTCATTTCCCGAAAATGCAGTTATTTATAATTCAAATTGTTTCAGTTCCAGACCATATTAGACCCAGAGTTTGCTCGCTTCCAGAAAAAACAATTAATCCCAGATTGAGCGACGACCTTTATCGACTCAGAACTTTCAGTATTACTAATAAAGGAGTCGTCAATTGTGGCGATTCTATAATCAATCGAAGATCTCGTTCGAATACCAGCGTTAATTCAATGACTAGTCGGTAATAAGTAATTACTAATATAATTTTGTATATTAATAATATAAACTATTCTAGATCTAATGTATCAGGCGAACGTTCCCCTTTCGACGGTTCCTGTTGCGGTTCCGGGTATCACAGCGTCGGTTCCGATTCGTTTGACTCTGTAAATGAGTCTGAAATACCCAAATACAGGGTGATCACATTGGGGGATGCTGGAGTGGGCAAAACTGCCTTGGTTTCCCAATTTATGACGTCCGAGTATATGAACACTTATGATGCTAGTTTAGGTAAGACAAAAGGTAAAAAAAAAATCGCTTCTTTTTCTTGTCTTTGTGTGTTTTATGTATTTTTATTTGTCTCTGTTGTAAGTAGAATTAGGATTTTGTATAGAGTGATTTAGGACAAGAGTTTTGACATTGAAATATGCAATATTCTTTTTGGTCCAAAATATAATTGAATATTTCCAGATGATGAGTTTGGAGAAAGGACTGTTTCCATATTACTCGACGGCCAAGAATCAGAAATGGTATTTATTGATCATCCAGCTTCGGAAATGTCTGTAAGTATCTAAAAACAAACAAAATTTTTATTGAATTATTTTTAATCCTAATTACTTTAGGTTGAAAATTCATTGAGTACTTACGAACCTCACGCCTGCATTGTCGTCTATTCAATCACCACTAGATCAACTTTTAAAACTGCAGAAGAAATTTTGAACTATTTATGGAACGAAAACTACACCAAAGACAAAAGCGTTATTGTTGTGGGTAATAAGGCAGATCTGGCAAGATCAAGAACAATAACACAAAATGGTAAATACAAATCCATGTAATATATAATTTGAGTTTATTTCTTTGTAGAAGGTAAAGGTTTAGCTGTAGCGAAAGATTGCAAATTCATCGAGACATCTAGCGGTATCCAGCACAACGTGGACGAACTTTTAGTAGGCATCCTGAAGCAAATTCGACTGCGCGAGTCTTTGGAAAAAAAAAAATCGATGACGAAAGAGAAAAGTAAAATGAAAGGGTCGAAAACGAGCCTCAGATTGCACTTTGCCAAAGAAATTTTGCAAAAAATTTGTTTGAACGACATCAGCAAGTCTAAGAGTTGTGAAAATTTACATGTTTTGTAAGGAATTTTGATGGGGCCAAATATACTTTAAAAATTACTTTGGTAATTCATCTTTGATGGATGTATTTATGGTATTTGTTGCTGTAATATTTCTGTTTTAAATCAACCCAGTAAACACAGTGATGTATACACAAAAAATACGAAATATCAATTTTACATCTACATTATGCATAATTTTAATTAAGTATTCATTTGCAATTTAGAGAGGAGTGAAAGGAAGGTTTGAAGCAGGTTTAAGGAAATTTTCAAGTTGCTCGAGTGAAAACTTTGAAAAATACAGCCTAAAATAGTTTGATTAATAAGAAAATTTTTCTATGATTTAGACACAAGGATGTAAATGATTTTATTTTCAACCACATATGTAATGTTGACATTGCAGGTTTTTCAAAATCTTGAAAGTGTCACATTTCTGGACTTTGACATTTATCGGGACGGTAATGCATATGCCTGCCTAGGACGGAAAAGCATTTTCCGTCCGGGACGGCAAATGCTTTTCCGTCCCCATTTCCCTGCTCGTTCCAAATTGATAATTTTCATACAGCTCTCACATATAATAATAAAACCACATGTATTACATGGAACTAATTAAATCTATTCACTTATTTACATTAATTGTTAAATTAGCATTGTTGTTTATAATGGAAATCTTGAGACCATCCTGTTGGAATTGTGTTTCGTTTGGAACTATTATCTCTTGCGCTTGCGGATGAGTTTCCGCATGTGATGTACTTGTGGATGCACTGGACAACTGAATACCTTTGGAAGTAGAGGATAGCATCAGAGCAGTCTTACTTTTGTTCTCCAAAGATGCCTCTATGTAGCCTTCAGCAACCGTGCTCGATTTCCACCCTCCCAGTCTTTTGAGTTGCAATAGATCGGCCCCGTTGTCAACCAATAAGGTTGCGGAAGTACGACGAAAAGCATGCCCTGTAAAAGTTTCAATTTTTGGAAGCTTCAAAAAAGCAGCTATTTTATGTGGAAATTTTGAGATTGAATGATAGCCAATTGCTTGGTTATGTAATTTCCCATTTCGCCATTGAACAAATAACCTGTCATTTTTCAAATTTTTCCGCAAAGTGAGGTATTTGTGGAAAATAGCAACCCAATCTGGATCGCTTATGATAAACGATCGACTTGTGTAAGTTTTTGTGTGTGGAATTTCTATAGCGATCTTTCCTTCCAAAACGTTGACGTGCTCCATTTTCATCTTGACTAGTTCATCGCTCCTACATGCACCCGACACACCAACAATTAGCGCTACCTGAAACCAGATAAAAATAAAATGGGTAACCTAGCTATAGCATACAGAAAATCATTTTGATTTTCGCATTTTTATCTTCTTTGTATATTTTTTGAAAACCTACCTTGATGCTAATGAATTCTTCAGCTGCCTTCGTGAGGAACTCGTTAATGTTTTCTCTGGAAAAAACGCTCGACTTTTTCGGCTGAAAGCCCAGATTTTGCCGCTTCAAAAAAGCTATAAGTTTTGCGTAATTGGAGATATCAACTTTCTCTTTCAATTTAATCATGGTTTTCAACATACTGTAAGTCGACCATAAAGTCGAAGGCTTCTTTTCCTTAGATAATTCGCCAAAATACGCCAACAAAACGGTCTCCGAGGCAGTATTTCTCGTTCCTTTCTGGCTACACCATGCTTCGAATATTTGAAAAGCCTTTTCGTACCGAAATTTGCTTTTTGCTGGAAGCAAACTCTCTCCAATCCTGTCTGCTGCTTCTTTTAATTCAGGTGGGGTACAATCCATCGCTTCATCTTCACTTTCCGAAATCATTTCTTTGGGGAGAACGGGGAGAAATCTAGTGAAAATCTATTATTTCCGCAAAAATACTGAGCGAAAACTACCGTCGTTAAGGCGTTGTTGATCTTATCTATGGTTGTTGATTTTGCGGTTTCCTGTGGTTTCGTCTTTTGTTTTGGCCTTTACAGGGCCTTTGAGATCGTCAAAATTGATGACATTGACAAAAAAAGTGAAATATTTTTTTCTAAGGCCAGTTTTACACTATATGAAAATTTCGTATAACAGAATCTTTAGTTTTTGCATCAGAAAATTAAGGGTTGAAAATAAAAAAGTATACAAACCTCGACGGAAAACTTCATTTCTGTCTCGAGGTTGAGTTTATCTCGACGCTTCGCGTCTCGATAAACTATAATAACCTCTCGACCAGCAATGAAGTATTTTCCGTCTCGGATTGTAATATACTATTTTTATTCATGTTTCAAGTATCAATTTCCAATTTGGAGAGGAGTGAAAAGAAGGTTTGAAGCACGTTTTAGGAAATTTTCAAGTTACTCGAGTGAAAACTTCAAAAATACAGCCTGGATGAGGAAGGGAAGTTTTCTATAATTTAGACACAAGGATGTAAATGATTTTATATCCTACTGAACTATTAAAACCATATAATACCTTGGTTACGATAATCATAAACAGGGTCTTAACTCCCAAGGGAGTTAAGGATTTTCATAACTCCCAAGGGAGTTAAGGAAGGGAGTTAAGGATATCATAACTCCCAAGGGAGTTAAGGATTTCCATAACTCCCGCTTTTACCTTGAATAGGTAACACTTTGACAAAAAATAGAAATTTTGATTTATGGCTTATTCCTTTATAAAAATAGACAGAATACAGTAAATTCAGTAGGATATAAAATTATCTATGTACCACGGGAATTATCAGGAGTTAATACCCACGGGCAATTGGTGTCCCTCGGGCCGGAGGCCCTCGGGACACAAACGTTGCCCTGGGGTATTAACACCTGCATAATTCCCTTGATACATAAATAACTATTATATCCTACTGAACTATTAAAACCATATAATACCTTGGTTACGATAATCATAAACAGGGTCTTAACTCCCAAGGGAGTTAAGGATTTTCATAACTCCCAAGGGAGTTAAGGAAGGGAGTTAAGGATATCATAACTCCCAAGGGAGTTAAGGATTTCCATAACTCCCGCTTTTACCTTGAATAGGTAACACTTTGACATAAAATAGAAATTTTGATTTATGGCTTATTCCTTTATAAAAATAGACAGAATACAGTAAATTCAGTAGGATATAAAATTATCTAAGTACCACGGGAATTATCAGGAGTTAATACCCACGGGCAATTGGTGTCCCTCGGGCCGGAGGCCCTCGGGACACAAACGTTGCCCTGGGGTATTAACACCTGCATAATTCCCTTGATACATAAATAACTATTTTTACTGATGAACTGGTTCAAGTATCAATTTCCAATTTGGAGAGGAGTGAAAGGAAGGTTTGAAGCGAGGGGTGGTTAACTCCTTAAAATATTTACACAGATTTTAAATCTTCATTGATTTTGTAGGGTTTTGAGAATTTTGAAAATCTTCACATGATTTTACAAGATTTTAAAAGATTTTAGGTGATTTTGGAGCATTTTAGGGAAGTTAGAAGGGGTTTTAGAGATCTTAAAGGATTTTTAGAGATTTTAACAGATTTTTGGGATCCAAAGGATTTTTGGAAATGTTAAAGGCATTTTTTTATTAGGAATTTTATAAGATTTTGCCGGATTTGTTTTGTTCTAATCAAATTTTGTTAGGTTTTTAAAGATTTTAAAGATTTTCAGGGATTTTAAATAGATCTTACGGCAGGATTTTAAAAGATTTTAGATTTATTAGATTTTAGGTGATTTTGAATTATTTTAGGGAATTTAAAAAAGGTTTTTATGGCGTTTTTGCCAATTAATTTAGGGGAGCCTTAACGATGAGTATTTTTTAAACTGACATTTCTCCATAGAAGTCTGTCATTTTAAGGAATACTTATTGTTGAAGCTCCCATAAAATAGTTGGTGGAAACGGCCATTAGAGATCCTAAAGGATTTTTAGAAATTTTAACGGATTTTTGAAGATTCCAAGACATTTGGAAATTTGGAAGGAACATTTTTTTAGGAATACATATATTAGTGATTTTACATTACAAGTGCGTTTGGGAATATGATTACAATAAAAAGTGTGAAAGATTAGAACGACGAGGTCGTAGATCGAGTCGTTCTAATCACACGAGTTTTGTAGTCATGTTTAAACGCACGAGTGATGTACAACGTTTTATCTACAAAGCGAAAAATCAGAATGTTTTTCCAGTCATTTTCGTTTATTAATCGTTCTCTACCTTCATTTTACCTTTACAGGTTTACCGTTGACATTTGTCAAATTACCAAAAATAGTTGTGTTATGAATTCATAACCTTGTCCATAACATCACTAGTTGTGTTATGAATTCATAACCTAGTCCATAACACAACTAGTTGTGTTATGAGCCTCATGACATAACTCAAATACTGGAAAAATAGTAATGTAAAAACGCGAGTAAAAACGTCATAACCAAACGTTTGTAGATAAATAACTATTATAAGATTTTGTCGGATTTTTTTTGTTCTAATAAAGTTTTGTGTGATTTTGTGAAATTTGATGCAATTTCAAGTGATTTTAAAGGGATTTTGTGAAGTTTTGTTAAATTTTTAAAGATTTTCAGGGATTTTAAGTACACTATGTACAAGTTTTTCTGGACTTGTAAACAGATTTTGACCAATCAACCGCTCCGAGGTTTAGTTAACTCTATAAAAAATGAACACATATTTTAAATCTTAATTGATTTTGTAGGATTTCGAAAATTTTGAAAATCTTTACACGATTTTACAGGGGTTCAGAAGATTTTAGATTTTCAAAATTCTAGATGCAATTTAGGGGTTTTTGAAAAGTTTTTAGAAATTCTAAATTCAAATGACAAATTTGAATGGAAAAACGGAAATTCCTAGACATTTAACTATAGGATTTCATAATACTTTTCCAAATTTCATCATATAATTCTATGGAATTCCACCATAAAATTCAATGGAATTCTTGAACAAAAATTCCTCGGAATTACACTACTTATGAGATTTCATGAAATTCTTCAGAATTCCACTAAAATTTCAAGTTATTTCATGGGAATTTTGCGAAAATTTTTGTTAATTCCATAGAAATTCCTTAGAATTTCACTAGAAGATTTTATGGAATTCCTCGAAATTCCATTCAAATGACAAATTTGAATAGAAAAAAAAGTTCTAGAAATTTTACCATAAGATTTCATAATACTTTTCCGAATTTCACCATAAGATTCCATAGAATTCCACCTTAAAATTCAATGGAATTCTTGTACAAAAATTCCTCGGAATTACAGTAAAAGATATCATGAAATTTCTCGGAATTCCACTAAAATTTTATGTAATTCGACAGAAATTACTCAAAATTTCACTAAAATTTAATTTAATTCTTCGGAATTCTGTCGAAATTTCTCGTGGTTCCATGGAAATTCCACGGAAATTCTGTTTAATTTCAAGGGAATTCTTCGGATTTCATATAATTTCACTGGAATTCCACAATAAGGTTTCAAGGAATTCCATGTATTTAATTCGACGAGAATTCCTTGGAATTTTACTCGAAATTTTATGTAAGTCAACACAAAATGAAATTATATGCATATTCTGCGAATATTTCATATATCTTTTTTTTTTTCGAAATTCCACTGAAATTCTCCAAAATTCTATAGAAATTCCAAATTCTATAATTTTTTTAAAACTGAAACTTCCCAAAACTTCACGACTGCTATATATCCTGGAATTCCACAAAATTTTCATAAAATTTTTCGGAATTTCACTGACATTTCCTATAATTTCTTAGAAATTCCTCGGAATTTCATTAAAATTTTGTGAGAATTTTTTGAAATTTCACTGAATTCCACGTTATTTGTCGAATATTTCTCGAAATTCCAATGAAACTTCAATTTTTTTTTCAAAATTTCATTAATTTTTCGCTTTCAATAGTCAGGAATTTCTGGGAATATTAATGAAACATCAAGTAATTTCTTAAAAATTGACCAAAATTCCTCCGAAATATATTGAAATTTCATATCATTACATAAGAATTTTTCCATTCACCAAAATTGTAAGTTTTTAGCCGGAAATTTCACTTGTGAAATTTTCTCTAATTTTACTAACATTCAGTAATTCGATAGGAATTTTTGGAATATCAATTTCACTAAAATGCCATGTTTTTAACTTGGAATAAAAATAAAACTTCATGTAATTAATTACATTAGGATTTTTTGGAATTTCATTGGAATTCCTTATGAAACGATAAGAGTTGTTCAAAATTCCACTTAAATTTCATGTAATTCCCTGACAATTCCTTGGAATTTCATGCAATTGCATTAGAGCTCCATATAGGTATAATTCGACGTAATTCGAATTCGATGTAATTTTTTGAAACTTTTTATAAATTCTTTATGTAATTTAACGAGTACTGAAATTTTATGTTGGGAATTTTGGTGTAATTCCATGTAATTGTTTAGAATTCCTCCATGCAACTCATTCAAGATTTCATAAAATTCGATCGCAATTCCACTGAAATTTCATGTAATTACTCAAAATTTTATGTAATTCGAGAAGAACTAAAATTAAATGTGAATTCTATGGAAATTTCGCAAAAATTTTACATGTCACATTTCACACCATAAAATTCAATGGCATTCTTGGAAATTTTTTTTCTTCGGAATCACAATATAAGATTTCATGAAATTCTTTGGAATTCCAGTAAAATTTCAAGTTATTCCATGGGAATTCCGTGGAAATTTTAGTCAATTCAATAGAAATTCCTTAGAATTTCACCAGAAGATTTTATGGAATTCTTCTAAATTCCATTCAAGTGATAAATTTGAATGGAAAAACGTAAATTCTTAGAAATTTAACTATAGGATTGTATAATATTTTTCCAAATTTCATCATAGGATTTCATGGAATTCCACAATAAAATTCAATGGAATTCTTGAACAAAAATTCCTCGGAATTACACTATGAAATTTCATGAAATTCTTCGGAATTCCACTAAAATTTTAAGTTATTCCACAAGAATTTCGCGAAAATTTTTAATAATTCCTTAGAAATTCCCTAACATTTCATCAGAAGATTTTATGGAATTCTTAGACAACATTTTTTCGGAATTACAGTATACGATTTAATGAAATTCCTCGGAATTCCACTAAAATTTCAATTTCAAAATTCCATTTTTTTTTTGACTTTACTGAAATTCTCCAAAATTCCACCACTGAAATATCCTGGAATTCCACAAAATTTTCATAAAATTCTTCGGAATTTCATTGACATTTCATGTAATTTCTTAAAGATTCCTCGGAATTCACTAAAATTTTATGAGAATATTTTGAAATTCTACGTTCACCGCCGAAGATTTCTCGGAAGTCCAATGAAACTTCAAGGAATTTTTCGAAATTTCATTTATTTTCATAAGAAATTTCACTGAAATTCTCTTTTGATAGCCAGGAATTTCTGGGAATATTAATGAAACTTCAAGTAATTTCTTGAAAAATCACCGAAATATATTGAAATTTCATGTCATTACCGAAATTCCATGTTTTTAGCCGGAAATTCCTCGGCATTTCACTTGCGGAATTTTCTCGAATTTTACTAAAATTCAATAAGAACTGAAATTTCATATTGGGAATTTTGGTGGAAGTTCATATAATTGTTTAGAATTCCTCCATGCGATTCATTTAGGAGTCCGTGTAATTCGATCGAAATTTCACTGAAATTTCATGTAATTCGAGAGGAACTAAAATTTAATATGAACTCTATGGGAACTCCGCAAAAATTTCACATGTAATTCCTTTTTCAGAATAACATAATTCTACAGAAATTCCTCGAAATTCCACTAAATTATGGAATTCTGGGAGACTGAACAGATTTTTAGGGATTCCAAATAATTTTTGGGAATTCCAAAGAATTTTTGGGAATTTCAAGGAAAATATTTTTTAGGAATGTTAATGATTTTATGAGATTTTGCAAGATTTTTTTGGTTTTAATGCAATTTTGTTAGATTTTGTGCAATTTCAAGAGATTTTGTGGGATTTTGTTAAATTTTTAAGGATTTCAAAGATTTTTAGGGATTTTGAATAGATTTTATGAGATTTTCTGAGATTTTGACCAACTTGTACACAGATTTTGACCAGTTAACCACCCCTCGGTTTGAAGCACGTTTCAGGAAATTTTCAAGTTGCTTGAGTGAAAACGTCAAAAATACGGCCTGAAACAGTTTGCTTATTAAGGGAATTTTTCTATAATTTAAACAGAACAATGTAAATGATTTTTTTATTCATGAACTGTTTTAAGTATCAATTTCCAATTTGGTGAGGAGTGAAAGGAAGGGTTGAAGCACATTTTAGGAAATTTTCAAGTTGCTTCAGTGGAAACTTCAAAAAAAAACAGCCTAAAACAGTTTGTTTATTAAGGGAATTTTTCTATAATTTAGACACAAGGATGTAAATGATTTTTTTTACTCATGAACTGTTTCAAGTATTAATTTACAATTTGGAGAGGAGTGAAAGGAAGGTTTGAAGCACGTTTTAGGAAATTTTCAAGTTGCTCGAGTGAAAACTTTAAAAAATACAACCTGAAACAGGGAATTTTTCAAAAATTTCAGATACTAGGATCTAGATGTTTTTTACATCAATTTCCATCTCAAATTTATGTATAGCTGTGTTTACTGGGAATTTTCTTCTTCTGAATCTGTGCTACATCTAACTTCAATAAATGTAAATAATACACTGATCTGTAGACAAAAGGCCTAAATATTAAAAACTAGAATAAATAGAAAAACAAATTCTCCTGTAAAATAAATGTTCTACGTCCACCATATCATATACGTCTTTTTGTATAAATGAAACCTATTTGTGTAACATGTAAGCATTATAAAATATAGAGACTGTTATTATTCCATTATTTTATTGATTCCACGGTATAAAGCAAAAATTATAAATAAAAAAATATACCGTGTAATAAGGTTGTAAAGCTTTAAGTAAGTAAAAATTCCGGTAGTTGATTGATGTTAAAAAATAGACTATATTTTCTCAAAAAAACTTTTTAAACGACAATCAATTTCTATTATTGTATTGTACTAGTTTGATCTCTTACATTTTCTGTACCTACTTATTCTGATTGTATACTTACCAAGTAAAATAGAAATAATGAAAAACCAAAAATGTTTTTATTTATTCAGCAAATAAAACAACATCCATAAGCATATCTGTGGACGTTGTAGGAATTTCTTCTACGATTTGTTCTTTTAGAGCAACTGCCACAGTTGTTGGAAGATTCGTTTGGGTATTTTTTAAATTCTCAATATACTTGTCATAGTACCCACCTCCATGGCCTAAACGATGTCCCGATTTTGTTAAAGCAACAGCTGGAGTAATAATAAGATCAAGTCCACCTAAATAATATAAAGAATTTCCAACTTGCATGAATCTAAATTTTCATCATCATTGGTTCAAGAGCCACTAATAGTAAAATTTTGAAACTTTGAGTAGATCTTTTTTCTTATTGGTAGAATAATTCCAAACCATTTTTTGATCATTTTCCAAATTCAAGAAAAGTTACAGAGGTTATAAGAAGATGAAAAGAAAAACGACGTTGACGAGAATCAAGTTTTTACCTGTTTCTAGGGCATCTTCCCTTTGCTCCTTCAACAAAGGTTGCTTAATATTCCATTTAGTCACTGGTAAATTTTGCCAATCGTCCATCGATTGAAGTTTCACCATTTGCATGCCAGCTTTACTATATCTACAAACAATAATTTTCACCTCTCGAAACTGAGAACGATTGCTGTGTCATTGTCAGTATGTTATGGAAATATTATGGACTGTTTTGAGAATAATTTCTTACCTTGGAACAAAGCAGGCCTTGCCCATTTCAAAAATCTTCCTGACCATCGGCTCAGTATCGATTTCATTAGTAGTGCTCAGAAAAATCGATACTCTTTTGCTCGATTGGAAAACTTTTAAATTTACAAGCTAAAAATCAATAATCATAAGTCCAAATTTTTTACTAATTTGATTTTACCTTCTCATAAACGATTTTCGATTGTCGTAGTTTTTCCTCTGAAGTTAAACTTGCAATTTTTGCTTCAACCGCTTTTCTGAGAGCGTTTTTAGCTTCACGAATTGTCGTCATTATTGTCAAATATGTACTGAAACAAATAAAGTCAATATCTTCTTGAGAGTCATATTAGTTTATTCAACATAAGCGTATAGCAAGTATTTTTATTTAAAATATTATAAAAACTGGATGAAAACTACTACGTCGCTGATGATGTTTATTGTTTATATAATTTGATTATTTTAGTAATACAAAAACCTTGAACTTTATCAATAATTAATTTAAGATTTGAAAACAATAACAAAGTGAGAGTGCTATATCCATTCCAAAGTCCTCATTTTTATGAGACGAGAAATTGCAATAAATAAATTATCGATTGAAAATTCATCTAAAGTAGCTCCCTTTGAAACTCCCTGAGGGATTGCAGGAGTTCGAGCTGCATCAAATAAGATTACTTTTACTGTGTATGGCAGATTTAGTGGAAAGTTTGCAGTCGAAGTTTGAATTACATCGTTTTAAACTCACAACTGAAATAATTTATTTCTTTGCAAAATTTTCTCCACTGAAAACTGTTAAAGGTTCAGCTGAAATGTTCAACATTTGACTCTCACAATAAAAAAAAATTACACTTTAAACTCTCTAAAATTCCATGTTTTACAATTTTTCCAAGACGACAGTCTCGTCCCCAAGGGGCAGTAAATGAAAAGCTTCCCAGCAAAATGCAAGACCGTAACAAACATAGTTGATGAGCCAAATATTTTCTGGGAGTTTTAAAAGTTTCATTCATTTATTTACTATAAAATAAAAATATAATTTTTGAAGTAAAGTTGCTACATCGTAATTTTCCTCCTTAAAAAAAAAACTATCACACAAGATCCTTGAAGTTTTTTAATGATGATCCAGTATTAAGAAAGAAGTATCTATATTTGGAAACCACTCTATACAGAGTGTCTGAGATAACTTCAAGCACAATCAAGACATGAGAAAAAATCATGTGTAGCGCCGTACACGTGGTAGAAGTGAAACTTCTTAAAAACTACTCCCCCCCTAATACACCTTTTAAACTTAACAGTCGCACCTGGAACAGGGGGGTCAGGCAATGACCCCAGTTTACTTTTTTAAGCATTACTTACTCATTTTTACTTTATCTTCAAAACCCGTTAAGGACTTTTATTTTACGTGTTTTTCAACCCGTAGAAACAAAATTTGTTGGGATTGGTAAAATCTTTGACCTTCGCCAGACTTTTCTATTACGCGTACAGTCATCGGCGAGACACAAGAAAATGGCCGATGGCGATTTTTTCAATTTGATTGATATAGTTGCCTATGATTCTTACATTCTTTTTATAGAAGCTAATGAGAACTGGGCAAGAGATAATCCAAAACAAATATCTAGCAAAAAAGTTCTTCTATAAAATGCTTAGGCAAGCTATTGTGTCAAATTGATATGGGTAATCGCTCAAGCTATAGAGGACTTCAAAATGAATATATAGCTACTTTGAAAATTAGTTCTGAATAAGATACTGAGTTTTTTCACTTTTTTTCTACAAATCACGTACGCGTTGAGTCGCTAACCCCCCTGTTCCGAATTAAAGAAAACCTGGGGTCAGTCGCTAACCCCCCTGTTCCATGTTCTCCGGGTACCCAGTTAGGGTCCCAGTGCGACTGTTAAGCGTATGAGTCGGGGTAATAACGAAGGAGTACATAAAATGGAGACGCGCAATGCGCTGTAGTGACGACACAAGGGTATCGACGCTTGATAATAACAGGCAATCCACTTCTAATGGAATGTCAGACTTTTCTGGCGCATATTTTTATCCTTCTGACATCCCATCTGCGTTCTCTGGCTGATCATCAACCTTTTCTGATGAATCACTCTCAGAGTTGTCTGTTGGGTCAGAACCAACTACCGTCTCAAACGGTTTCAACTTTTCCGATGGACATATGCCTTCGTACTCGTAGGGTTTTCGGGACCTCTTCGTACCAGGCATGTCCCTAATTATATAACAATCGTTATCTCAAACTTGTGTAATCACAAAAAAACAATGATAATTTGGCTCGAGCTTCCTACTTTTTCCTACCATCGAGCATTTTGCTCAGAGCACAACAACTGTTTGTCTAACTTGATACTTCTTAGGCCTAGCATATCATAGTACAATTTTTGTACACTATGTTGGGGACTACATTAGCCCACATCTCCTCAATGTCATGAGGCTCGTTTTCACATACATCATGAACAAGAGAAGAGTCATTTATTCCTCTAGATCCACAGCCTAGTAGAACTTCGTAAGGACTTTCCCAGTTGTTAAGTTAACAGTAGTGTTAATACCCCACTGTACTCGATCGACATTTTCATACCAGCGCTCTTCATTTTCCTTCGAGACATTTAGAGCAGCAAGAATCTTATTCATTCTTTGCACTTCGCACATAAAACTCTCTTGATGCCCAATTCCTCGCAAAATTTTGTAAAATCCTTAACAATAAAGGCAGTTCCACCATCACAGATTATGCGTCTGGTCACCCTAAACATGTTTATTATCTCATTTAGGAATTGTTTCACCATAGAAGCTTTCGTGCTTGCAACTGCTTTGATCATAGTGAATTTGGTAAAAGCGTCCATGACTATGATGACATAAGAATTCTTCTTGACGCTCCTGACAAAGAGCGCCAAGTGGCCAATATGTACTGTGTCCATAGGCTCACTTTTCTTTTCAATGCTATGTAATCTGCCAGATATTTTTGTTTCAGACGGTTTCATTATCATATAGGCATCCCAAAGTACTTCACATATCTACGCACACTTGCAAACCAATGACGGCTCCTAATGGCCTCAATAGTCTTCTCAACTGCCAAATGTCCTGCACCATTATGATAGTACATCAAAAGAGTTTTTGGGCACTGTACCCATCTCAACCCTTGGTCTGTTTTGCGATATAAACGATTATTTTTTAGTGCAACATTCTTGTGGATTTCTCTTTCTTTCGAACTTTGCGGTATACGACTTAGAATAGCGTGTATTTGACGACACTTTTCATCCTCCAGTTGCACAGCCAACACCCAGTCATCCTCATCAACATTGACGGGAAGCATTTGGATTTCGTCATAACCGTCGCTACTTCAACTCAAAGCATCAACATGGATCATTTCACATCCTGGTCTATACTGGATACCTACCTGTGTCGCTAACCACCATCGAGCGATTCTTGGAACTTCTTAGTCAAGGTAGTGCGAAGAGCAATAAAGTCTGTCACAATTTTCAAATAAGATATATTTTGAATTTTTAGAGGGAATCCTCTACCGTTGAAGTCCCTAATTCATAGCAGTGATAGTTTTGCTCTGCTTCGGTTGTAGCTCGACTGAAGTATTGTACCGGGTTCAAGGAACCTGCTTGTTTCTGCAGCAAAATTCCACCAATGTCTCATTTACTGGCATTCGTGTGCACTTCAGTTTCTGCGTATATTGCTAAAACTACCAATTTTTCTTTCAATTTCCGGAAAACGTTTTCATTTTCACCCCGAGTGAAAAATTTGTCTTTCTTTCTTAAAGTTGTCAATGGCTTGACAACAAGGGCGAAATTCTTGATAAACTTCCTGAAATAGCTAGCCAAACCAAGAAATCTTTTCACGTCATGTACATTCTTTGGTATAGGGAATTCGGAAACTGCGTTGATCTTGTATGCACCCGGTAGAATTCCATCTTTATCGATTTCATGTTCCAAAAACCTACATTTGTCCAACCATAGCGTCATGCCTGCCTCGCTTAATAGATTTAGTACTTTTTCTAAGAGTTTCAGAACATTTTCAATGTCCACGGAAGGTAGAAGAACGTCATCCAAAACTAAAGTGAATCTTAGAGAACCTAAAATTGCGTACATTAATCTATGGAACACATCGGGGGCATTGACAAGTCCAAATGGCATTCTTTGATGCTCGTACTGTCCGTCAGAGGTCAAAAAAGCAGTTTTTTGAACTGAATCCTTCGCAACGGGTGGTAACCCGAGGCAAGGTCCAAGCTCGTAAAGTACTGGCATCCTTTTAATCGATCCAAAAGGTCATCAAAACGTGGCAGAGGGAACTTTTCTTTTACTGTTTTTTGGTTTAAGGCTCTCTAGTCCACACACATGCGTTCTTCACCATTTTTCTTTTCCACCAACACTATTGGACTTGCATATGGGGAGTGGGATTCTTGAATTATGTTGTTTTCCAGGAGATCGTCAATTATTTCGCGAACTTTTTCGCGTTGCGTGTATGACAGTCGATATGGTCGATACGGTCGATACGTTGTTGGTTGATTATCCTACAATTTAATTGATCATATTACAAGTACCTATCTCGCTCATTTTCGTAGCAAAATAGCTACGATAATGATTTAAGTGCAACTTTTGCATTCTAGGAATACTGGAGTCAATTAAGTGGTCTAAATCTATTAATTTGAATAGCTCTCAATCAGTTTGTTTAATAGCCAGACAAACTTCTAAATCATTTTTCTCAGAGCTGCAATACCCTCTAGCGACAATAGAATTTTCTTTATACTCTATATTATTATCAGAAATATTCATTATAGGTATCACACCCGCATTACACTTTGTTATACAGCGAGGTATGACATGTTACTTTGCTGAGACGCATCTGTAGTGAAGATCAATAAAAACATTTCCCTGCCTCTCAGCAGCAGAAATAGCTATATGCCCAATATGCTGAGGCGAAATAACAACAGTTTCTTTAGCTCGTAAAACAACTTTTTTGGTTGGTGAACTTTCATTTTCAGGTAAATCACATACATTTTTATTGAAAAGTCACGAACGACAACAACAAAATTTGTATCGTTTATAAATGGCTGACCTATAGTAGGCAATTGAAGAGATATTTTGATGCTTATTGGGCACCACAAGGGCGATAACACGTGCGGTGGCTAAATGAACTGTCAGATCTAACTCAACTTTTGAGCATGTGTGTCCGTTCTTGACGCAGGCCCAACTTTGTTACATAAGACTTCTTAATAGTAACTGCACTACAGCCCAAATCAAAATACCCTCTAAATACTACATTATTTATATTGCAATCGATAAAATAAGTTTCGTTAAAGTGGATT